TGTAACCAACTTGCTCGGCATCCCTAAACATTACTGCATGTTTTCTCGGTGTTTTCTTCACTGCATGCTTACACATACAAACACCCATTTGAATTCTATGCAAACTTTGTGCTTTGGAATTATCATGTTATGATTCTTTTACATATTTCCTTCTCTCATAATATTATATTCGTTCTTAGCAGGAACCGGAGGCAGAATTGCCTGTGCTCTAAACGAATTCAAATAAAAGAAACAAAAAAACAAACCTAAAGGGTAAGGAAAAATACATGTAAGAAGAAAAAGGGCAATGGAAAAAAAGATGATTTGAACAAGTTTTCGTACAACACTCTTCAGGAATCACCGTTGTACTAAAGAACAAAATGAGAACAAAGGAAATAATATAGCAATCAAGGTAGGGTGACACGATACAATGACAGAACTGGAATATCGAGGTGCGAATTCTCACAAAAGTGTGCAGAAAACAAGGGTATACAAGTAAGAACTAAGCGTGACAAGTGTGTATCGGCAACAAAAACAGAAAAGTGAGAACGAATGATAATAATAACAATAATATACAAGAAGGTGACAAAACACATTTAGGCACAAGTGGCAACAACGTTGCCACACTACACAACAGAACATTATTTGAACAATTGTAGGGTAATAACACTATCTTTCTGGACACACAAATTCGGCTTATGAATGCGCTGACAAACAGCTTCCAAAACTTGTAACTGCAAAAGATAACCATGACGAGCACGGCACAAAACAGAAAAACAGGAATCAGAATAAGTACGACAACAGTCAGTACTAGAAACCAAATGATTGTATACTGAAGACTTGTTATTACGAGACGGACTTGGTGATCTTTTGCAGTTACAAGTTTTGGAAGCTGTTTGTCAGCGCATTCATAAGCCAAATTTGTGTGTCCAGAAAGATAGTGTTATTACCCTAAAATTGTTCAAATAATGTTCTGTTGTGTAGTGTGGCAACGTTGTTGCCACTTGTGCCTAAATGTGTTTTGTCACCTTCTTGTTTATTATTGTTATTATTATCATTCGTTATCACTTTTCTGTTTTTGTTGCTGATACACACTTGTCACGCTTAGTTCTTAATTGTATACCCTTGTTTTCTGCACACTTTTGCGAGAATTCGCACCTCGATATTCCAGTGCTGTCATTGTATCGTGTCACCCTACCTTGATTGCTATATTATTTCCTTTGTTCTCATTTTGTTCTTTAGTACAACGGTGATTCCTGAAGAGTGTTGTACGAAAACTTCTTCGAATAATCTTTTTTTTCCATTGCCCTTTTTCTTCTTACATGTATTTTTCCTTACCCTTTAGGTTGTTTCTTGCATTGTCTCCATCGCTTACATTGTTAATAAAGTAGTCCACATGTCGCTTCAGCTCGTCCTACTTATTGCGATATTAAAAATTATATATTATTATTATTATTATTAAAAAGCTTCCGTTGAGATAAAAAGGATCCACCAGCATGTGCCTCTTCACGTTATGCCTGTTGAGGCGCGGTCGTCAAGGCCTAGACGAGGTCGTCCCCCAAAGATTGGTACTGCGACTGGAGGTGCACCCTCGCTGGGTACGGAACCAACTGGGTTGTCGTTGTCTTCTTCGTCGGCATCGGCTTGTTCGTCATTGCCTTCGTCTTTACCGTCTCTTCCTTCTATCCCGTCATCATCGTCGGTATCTGCGGTTTCGTCTTCTTTGACTTCCTTGGTACCGTCATCCGTCGTGTCCACCTCCCATTTGTCAACGCCACAAAATTATTCCTGTCGCCATCCGTTATAACCTAAAGATATTTTGCCTTGTCTATAAATGTGTGCATGGCCGCCGCAGCCCTCTACTTGCCGAGCTTTTTTGTACTTAGATCAAATAGCAACCATACCAATGCCTTGACCAGGGGACAGTCCGCCCTGGCTTTAGCCCTGCCTAATGCTTCGTCACGGTACGGTTTCTATGCTTTGCCTTACCTGGCTGCTGACAGGTGGAATTCGCTTCCAGCAGCATGCCGCCAGGCGGCCTCCTTTGCAATGTTCAACAGTACTCTTCGCAGCCTCTTTTGCAACACATAATGGCACAGTATGCAGCCACTGTTTTCTTTTTTCTTTACTCTATTTCATGCACTTACGGCTTTCTTCATTCAGCTCTATTTCACGCACTTACCTAGGGTACCCTGTAAAAAGACTCACAGTCTGTGGGGATTGCCCTAGTAAAATAATAAATACTACTACTACTACTACCTCCGGTGGCAAAAAGCGTGGCCGGCCACCGAAGAAACCACCGGATGGTGTGTCTGCGGGACCAGTGACTCGCTCTAGGGCGAGGTTAGCAGAGTCTTTATCGTCCTCGTCGTTGTCGTCATCGTCGTCGTCAGCGTCTTCCTCATCTCCTTCCTACTCTTCATCAACATCAACAGCCATTGGAACGTCAAAGGGAGCATCATCGCAGCAGGCAGTGCCAGTAACGGACGTGCCTTTGGTACTGACATCTACATCGGCCTCGTCTGGATTGGCAGTAGCGACAAGGAATGTCAGGTCGGTTTCATTGTCACGTAATTCCAAAGTATGTACTGGTTCTAGTAGCGTTGTTAGGGTGTATGAATCTTCTATCGCCAACCATCTTGTTCAGAATAGTGATTTTCGTTCTAGTTATGCTGATGATTGCTTTTCTGTTTGGTCTCGTTCACGTAGTCAAAGGTATTTGCGTGTATTGGAGTCTATTTACATTTTTACTACCAAGCCGATTTTGTGTAGGCGAAAAAAGAATTTGTTTACGTTGAAATTTTTTGTGAATTTAGATCAGTAGTTCTCGTTTGTGGTTGCATGGTAACCTTCTAGGGGTGAATTTATCGCATCTGTTGTCACGTGATATCGTTGAATGGTGTAATGTTTCTTTCAGCTCTCATGTTATCGCGCTAGTTAGGGTCTAAATTATTACTTGCATTGTGCGTATATATATTGAGTTAAGAGCTTTTGTTGATTTGCCAGTAATCCTCTGATGAGATGGCGACGAAAACGTTTAGGAACCAGCTTCTTTATTTACATGAAAACAAGTTTTGCTTATAGTGTTTGTACTGAGTGCGCAGCTTACTCTATTTATTGCGTTGATTATTATTATTATTCTCAATTCATGGATGACATTGTGTCAACCAATATTATGAATGGGGGCTACCAGCCATAGAATAAAAGAACAAGAAGGCAAAAATGCACACGCAAAATATGGCAAGTTAAATGAAAATGAAAATGAAATAAAAGTAAATCAATCCAAAAGCAAAAGCAATTATAGAAATCAATTCAAAACCCAAATGAATTGTACAGGTAGCATATATTATGATTTACTTGGGAGCTTAAAGTAATACACAAAGAGAATTGAAATCAATGATTAGTAAATGAAGATCGACGTATGTGTATATTTATCAAGCTTAAAAACGCATTGAGGGTGTTGCTGGACTTTAATTGCTGAGGAAGAGAATCCCATAATTGGTATGCTAGGAATACAGGCGATTTTCTCATAGGATTGTTTCTTGCAATCGGGAAACGAAGCGAGTTCCGGCTTGTTGAGGATTCATCGAACAAGTTTAAGGAATGCTGCACATGCTGAGGGGCAGTGATCAGTTTGATTTTGTGAATGTATACGCAGGAGGATCGGTCAATGTAATGTTTCAGAGGAAATGTACAGCAATTTTCATAGAGAACGGCTATGTTGGTCTCGGGCGGCAAACGAAGTATTGCCCGGAGAATCCGTCGATGCACAATCTCCAGCTTTGCAAAGAGGCCATTACCAGCGCCACCCCACACCACACAGCAATACAAGAAAATAGGCAAAACGTATGTATGATAAAAGATCTTTCTGCATTCTGGTGAAATGTGGGGGAGATGGCTATAAAGAATACCAACGACTGAGCTTGCCCGCTCTTCCAGATTCCGGAAATGGTGGGACCAGTCCAATTTGCTATCAAGTGTAACGCCAAAGGTGCTTGTGACGAGAGGTTATAGGTATCGGGGTAGGATCATCGGGGAAATGGAAAATAAAAGTTTGAAGATGTGCAACATCTGACGACGCGTTGGGGACGACACACATGATCTCGGTCTTGGCTGAGTTCGGCCGGAGTTTCCACCGTCGCATCCACTTGACCACACAGTCTATTATAGCAATAAAAACTGCTTTATGGCAGTTTTCTAAAAAAGGTTATTGTGTTCTAGTCCATGGACCCCGTCTAAAAAGTAAGAAATTAACGAAATGTGATGGCTGAAAATTAAAATTTCACACAAAACCTCACAATAATCACAACACTTGAAATGCTGCTTTCAACTTTAACTTGTACTGCACCAACAATTGGCAACATGCATGCATAGGAAAGAAGATCACGAGGGGAAAAGGTCTTCTACATGTAGCTTTTAACTCTGTGTGTGATTATTGTGAGGTTTTGTGTGAAATTTTAATTTTCAGCTATCACATTTCGTTAATTTCTTACTTTTTAGACGGGGTCCATGGACTAGAACACAATAACCTTTTTTAGAAAACTGCCATAAATCAGTTTTTATTGCTATAATTTCTTTTGTTTTTTCTGTCACCAATCAATAGAATGCCCTATATCAATATGTAAATGATGGTTTTCACATCATATCAAGAGGTTTATGTCCTCTTGATCATATCAATACCGTATTATACCAAGAGTACATAATGGGGGTTATGTACTCTTGATTATACGCATTGATGTGCGAGCCTTTTCTTGCAGAAAATGGCACTAGCATAATGTATGTTCTTCTGCGGGGAAACATGTGAGTAGTTAGGTGGTGATACTTTTTTTATACGGAGGTCATTCTGTGCATGTTGCTGTTGCAGAATTTCATGACTCTGCCAAAAATTTGTCTTGCCTTTCAGATATTTCAGATTTCCCCACCCTCGAGCCATGCGCCAGGTGCGTGTCGCAGATGTTTTTGTTGATTCTGTGTTTATAATGGTTTATAATCATGGGTTATTGTGATAAGGTCATCCAGGATCATATTGCACTGAAATCGTAATCCTGTTGATGTCGATACAACTCTTGGAAGTAGTTCAATGACTTCAAACTGTTAGTCCACGATTTTCTAAAACAACACAGCAAAGGAGGAACAATAAACATGACAGTTAATTTATAAAATGTAAACAAATACATTGCTGAGTCCGACACCTCGTTCTAACCACTACACTGATCCTGATGATAAAAGGGTCAAGGCTATGGTTGGAGGTAATGATACTGAGAGATAAACAAGGCACTCCATGATAATAAAATCTTACACATCTTTTGGTGAGTATGAATGATATCCAGTCGAACCTCTTTAGGACGAACACCAAGGGACTGATGGTATTTATTCTGTGAGTTTGTCTTAACCTATTTTATAACCAGTGAATACAATTATTTCTCCAATAGACATACGAATAGATTTCTTCTACAGCGAAAGATTCTAAGCCACACGGACTCATTGACTCGTCTCGTATGAAACAAAAGAGTCACTAGAGAGGTTCTGCAAAACGAAAATGCGTACAAACTTTCGCTCTACATCATGAAGTGCGAAACTTCGCAACTTTGGACGCGAAACTTGCAGGGAACGTGAAATGAACTGTTGTAGGAAATTTCGTGAGATCGGGTCATGGCGTACGTGCACTTGGCCCGCGCAAACTACGAAAATGTGCAGAACGCAAAGTTCGTGCAAAAATTCGTACACACTTTTGCAAGGACTGTCGCGAAACTTCGTTCGAATTTTCGTTTTGCAGAACCTCTCCAGTGAGCCTTTCTTTAGCAACATGACGGCAACAGAAACAGCAACAGAGAAAGTACGATACATGTACAGCACATTCTTGCAGGTACTACAGTTACTACCAAGAGTACGGGGGTTATGTACTCTTGGTACTACAAACAGATTGCAGATCGTAATTCTTGCTTTAGCGGCACGAAACTTTATTTGGGGCAGTGCAATCTCGGCAGTACTCACTCAAACAGCCCAGACTCGAGTAAACAAATGCAATCATACAAGTACAAGATTTTCACGAGACGACACTGCACCCATTGGCTTGTTTCGTATGAAGCAAACAAGTTACTGAACCTCTCCACAAAGGAGATTTTCGCTGATATGCGAATTTATTTGGCAAACTCGGTCAATGAGTCCTTGAACCTTTCCCTCCAGATTGGGAACTGCCAACGATAGTATGCCACTGACCAGTGCCTTACTTGTAACGTACTAATGTGCAATGAATACGAGTATTTTGACAACACATCTAACATAAGCCTTACCGTCGAGAAGGGGAACTCGCGTTCTTCGCACACTGTAAGGGCAAAGAGATAAAAATGGATCTAAATCCGAATAAAATAAGCACACGTTTCCGTAAATGAAAGGGTGAGCATAAGCAAATGAATCGAAGGAAACTGGTCAACTCAGAGATCACCTGTCATTGAGTATTCCGTAAAAGGAGGCCTCGGCAGCGGAAAAGCTAAATTTAGAAAGGAGATCCTGTCAGCTTTTCCATTATTTATTGTATTCCGCACAAAATCAGCACACTTTTCGTAAATGAAAGAGTCAACACAAGCAAATGAATCAAAGGGAACTGGTCAACTCACCTGTCATTGAGTAATATTCCGCGAAAGGAGGTCTCAGCAGCACCGAAACGAAATAAGCCAGGCCAGGAGACGAAATATCCGAGACAGCTCATGCAAGAAGCAGTTCCAAAGAAGGAAGTTCCTCGTGCATGCACATCCGAAAAGGCAACAACAAAAAGTCTGCAATGCACACGTATGCGGCCATCCGGCCGCGCGATGGTAGGAGCCATGGAGTAGCTCCGGCCTCCCTGCAGGACCAGGTACCGAGCATCTTACGTAGAAACTTACGTAGCTACGTAGACAACGTGTCTGAACAGCGGTGTCGTTAGGTAGCGCCATGTGAACACAATAATAGAAAAGCTGACAGGATCGCTTTTCTAAATTCCTACCTGCAGTTGACACGCGACGGGGAGCGACCAAGGGAAATTTTATCTCCAATTGAAAAAGAAAGAATTGAAGAGAAGAAAGAAGTTTCAGCAGGAATCGAACCTGCAACCAAAAGATTCCCAAGCACCTATCTTGACCACCCAGCTACCACGGTGTTGATGCAGATATTGGTTTAAAGATAGGTCTTTGATCTGAACACGCAATACACATAATAGTATACTATAGTATACTGGGATACTAAAATAGCTATTTCGGACCAGTATTTCAGGCCAAAAACGAAGCTAGGTATAAATAGAATAAACACCTTTGTCTTGTGTTTATGAGAATATAAACACTGTCTATAAAAACCTCGGCTACGCTTCGGTTTTTAAAGCAGTGTTTATATTCCCATAAACACTACGACATCGGTTTTTATTCTATACATAAAAGAGTCACACGACCCCAATAACCCACCTTCACATGTTGGTAACTGAGTCCAATTTCTCCCAGCCATGCAGTTAACTGTTGACAGACCAAGCAGCTGATAACCAGGATTACATGACACTGCTACGGTACTTCCAATTGTTCTTGTTGTAGAACTGTAAGTTGCTTGTGTGATATTTAGTGCTGGGCATACCTCTGTAGCTGGAGAAGAGAATATCATCATGCAAAATATAGCATATTGACCAGAATCCACGTTTTTTATATAACAAACCACTGGCTATAATTAGCATGAAGTATAACGTGTGATTCGGATCAGACAGCTTTCTAGGCCTTGACGGATTATGCTAGCATAATTTTCGCATAATTCCTACCAAAATCGAATAAGCACATAATTCGAGGCAAATTGCATACGAATCGCATAAATTGGAATAATCCGACTGTTCGCATCAAATTCCATACAGTTGTACATGTTTCACAAGTACAAGTACAAGTAGATGCACAAGGAATACGTAGGTTTACGACTCCCTTGATAACCTGTCCAGTCCACTACAACCAGTGACTGTCGTAGCTAGCTCGGACGGTGCATTGACCCCGTTGAACTTTTGCTACTACAGTACAACGCCCTCTACAAAAAAAATCCCCTGTTATTTTGCACAGAACCATCATATGCATTAGCAGCATATGTGAGCATGATGCGCATCATATGATAACCTTTAGTATTAAAATAATAAATCTGGTATTTTTCAGCAATGCGAAAAGCAAAATTTCACGAAAATATTAGCATAATCCGTCAAGGCCTACAGCTTTCGACAGGAAATGCATCATTTCTTGTTGGATGAGAGCAACGAAGTAAACAAGAAATGATGTACTTTTCGGAATGCGAGTGCACAGTCCAGAGTTCACGGACTGTGCTGGGAGTGCGGTACGCACTGTCTGCACAGTGTGGAGTTGCAGCATGCACATGAAGGTGCGTGCCGGTTTGAAGACAGTCTTCTTTTTGTTCTTGCACTGCTGCTGTACAGTTGCGAATTTTCGCTGCGTGGCCGACTGCTTTTCTCTTCGTTTCTTTAGTGTAATCTGTCTGATCATGCCTGGACGTGGACGATCCTCCACCCCAAGAGGCCGGAGCAGGTCCTCCAGGGGAGGTAATTTGCCTGCCTCAGCAAGCAGACCTGAAGTAAGCAGCTCCAACAGTGGAGCCGAACCGAACGCCCAGCTGCAGGAGCAGCAGTTGAGGATCGGCGCCCTAGAATCGGCGCAGACCAAGGAACGGTCAAGCCGTCGTCGTCGTCGTCATCGTCGGTCCCCATCGTCGTCGTCATCATCCTCATCATCATCCTCATCTTCCCCCTGTTCGTCTTCGTCGTCATCCCCGTCTTCATCGTCATCTCCCGAGTCTCGCCATCGTCGCAAAAAAGGCCAAAAAGTCGAGAAGTCGTTCCGGTCCCCGGTCAACCTCGTCGAGGCGGTGGAAGAACCCCTCGTACGAGAGACAGTACGAGACAAACGCTGTTGTGCTGGAAGAGCTTGGCGAAGTGCGTGCTGCTCTAGGGAAGAGGAAGGTGGACAGGGCAAGGCGAGCCACCAAGCAAAGGTGAGAACTTGTTGCGGGATAGGCAAGAGTGGCTGGTCATTGCAGATGCACATGGGCACGAGGCAGCCACAAAGTTTGCAGAGGGTGGCGAGATGCTGGGGATTGCTGGGTGCCCGCAGAAAAGGCTAATGGCAGCCATTCAACCCCCCTGCGCCAAAAGCCAAGCAGCCCTTTCTCCCCCGCACTCCGTCCAAGTCGGCCAAGGGGTGGGGTGCCCACAATGCGAACTTGGCCCCAAGCGCCACAAGAGCGGGGCAGCCTCCCCCTCCCCCCCCCCCCCACCAACGGTCCATGCCACCATTGCAGCGAAACAGGCCACTACATTCGCGTGTGTCCCTGCCGGCAAGCAGCTAGCCAGCCGCGAAATGCCTGAACTTTGTGCAGCTGACGACTATGATATGTCATTTCAAAGCAATGAATCAGTGGAGTAGTCTCCAATACAAGTAGACCTGTGCAGCTATCCTTACCTTGTGCTCCGTCACCACTGTATCCTTTGCGGAAATTCCAGGCCACTAGTGTTGAGGAGGTTTTCACCTTCCTCATGAGACTCGATGCTCGTGAAGCTGATGGCAGCAACAGTATTCCGGCATTCATCCTGAAGCATTGTGAAACAGCCCTCGCCCCGTCGCTATCCATATTAATTGATGCATCCCTTTCGTCTGGCATTGTGCCCGTCTCCCTGAAGATTGCAAATGTTCGACCCCTATTTAAGTCTGGTGACAAGAACGCATCTCGCAATTACCATCCCATATCGTTGCTGCCAATAGCATCGAAGATGTTGGAGAAGATAGTCCACAAACGCCTGTATGACTTCTTACAAACCCATTCACTTTTGCCCGCCAATCAGTTTGCGTACAGGCCACAACACTCCACGGAAGATGCCTTGACCTTGGCCATGAACCGCTATCTGTCGTCAGCAGACCACCAGCTACATATTGGCGCAGTACTAGTGGACATGAGCAAGGCATTAGATAAAGTACGGCACCAGCTCATGATCCAAGTTTTGTTTGCTTTGGGTGTATCTTTGACTGCATTGGGTTGGTTTGCAAGCTACTTTACGGACAATCGACAAAGAGTAGTTCTGGCGAGTGGGCAGCGCTCGGGCCTAACTGCATGCGAGTGTGGAGTCCCTCAGGGTAGTGTACTGGGTCCTTTGCTGTTTTCACTATAATACCATGTACGTCCATAGCGTCACCAGCCCAGTACACTCCCAACTGTTTGCTGATGACATCCTTCTCGACACCGCAAGCAGATCTGTAGCAACACAAACTCAAGTCTTATCAGTTGCTGTGTCAAACCTGGCTGCTTACCTACACGGGAAAGGCCTGGTTTTAAACCCTGACAAGACGCAGGTCTTAGCCATTGAGGCATCACGCCGTAGTACCCTGGAACTCCATGTTAACGGCAACGGGACGTCTCTCACTCAGACCGCCACTGCTCGCTTTCTGGGCCTACAGATCGATTCCTGTGTTCGGTGGGACGCGCACGTCTCCAGCATAGTCGTAAAACTTCCGAGAAGCTAACCACCCTGAGAACCATCCGCCCGTCGCTATCTGAACGCCAGTCACTCCTCTTCTATTTTGCCGACATACTTCACCAGCTCACTGTCCTCGACAAGGGATGTGTTCGCTGCGTAGCCAATCTGCACTTCCCGTCCCATACCACTCCTATTATACACTCGCCTTTCCCTGACCCTGTAATTGAACGTGCCAAATGCAAACTCCGTTTCCTTATGCACCGTGTCCACACCAGCAGCATCAGCCCTCTTCTGAAAGATAGAGCAGCCATCCAACCTCCCAGTAACACCCGTGGCAATGACAATTGCAAATACGTTTTTCCGCTAACTCGGCAAACATCTGGTGACAGCCGACCATTGGTTTCCGCCGTGAGGCTTTGGAACACTCTGCCACAGGAACTCACGTCCACTCGTCGTCCAATCCCGTTTAAAAGATTGCTGAAAGTGTTTTTGTAGGGTGAATATGGCCGAATAGCACCCCCCTCTGGCATAGGTCCTCATCTTCCTATTTCCCTCTGATTGTTACCTCGTTCGAACTTGACTTGTAATTACCGGTACAAATGCTTCCTGTTGACTGTTTTCTCATTTTCTCAAGTGCAGATTTATCGAGCCACACTTTTTATTCCATCGCCATCAAAATATTGGGCATCAATGGCTTCACATCTCTGCCTCCACCACCGAATGGCGAAGATCGAAGCAACTTGGCTCTCTGTTGGGGGAAGAGAAGGACTTGAGCCGACGAATGGACCAAGCATCAACATCTTATGGCCGCAGGTGTTCGCTCTGGATACGACGTCAACATGTATCCGAGGAAACCAGGCTTCGTCTCTACAATGCCATCGTCCTACCAACACTGTTGTACAACTGCGAAACCTGGGGACTGACAGAGGCTGCACTGGAGAAGCTGAACGCCCGAAATCGAGCCTGGCCACGGCAGTCAAGGCAAGCACAGCTGCCAGAGACATGCCACTGAAGACCATGACTGATCTGAGTGGGGTCGGAATGCTCGCTTTGGACAAGCAATCATGGAGGTAACTCTCAGCCTGAGCTGGTCTTGCTCGCGGCTGCAACGCAAGGGGTAGTGAACCCAGGAGAGAAGCGGACCAGGCATCATGCCTTTGCACATCTATCGTTATGCTGCTTCATTACGCGACCTGTTTTATTATTATTATTTAATGCCCGTTTGGTTTGCGATGTAAAATATAACTTCAAACAAAAAATCAAACAAAAAACAACCTGCGATAAATTGATCAGCTGTAGCACCTACTCCACTTTTACAGGGAGTCGTTAAATACCGGGAGGCGACACGAGCTGCACAACGCGTCGGATGATTGACTAATCTCGGGCACGAGTGCTGAGGAAAATAGAATCCCCATGAGGTCAAAGCGGCGCAGGTCATGCACAAAGGACGCGTTCGCTGTTTGGTCCCAAAAATCAAAAAATATCCTGCTCCCAAGCAATCGTCCGAGTGTCAGCAGTGGATTTGGTTATTCTAAGTTTGGGCCTTGACCTTCGGAGTAAAGGATGATGGAGCTTGACAGAGATGCCTGCCAAAGTGATGAGTCCACCGTGGAATATGTAGTCTACTAGATGACGCCACGTATCCACTTGGTGACCTGAGATGTTCAGCTGTGGACTACTGGTGAGATTCTCTCGTCTGCATTTGTTGGGCTTGTCTTGTCCTTGTGAACACGAATGTATAATCTGTAGCATGCTAAGCACCCCAAACTCACCCGAATAATAATGTGGTCGGTATCATCCTTTTCATCTGAGTCTGCCCATGGTGCATTGTCTGTTCACTGTGACATGTGACAGTGTTGAAACTGTGACAGGTTATTTATTCAAGTCCTGAAAATTACGTGTGTACCTAGTATGTAAATTGTTGACATTATGTAAACCTCCGCCCTCAACCCTTGCTTTGCCTATGTGCAGATACATGTAAGAGTGGCAGTGCCGCCATGGTGTACAGGCCTATGGAAGGTGAAATAATCCATGGAATTTGCGAACTGCTGACAATGAGACAGGCGAGTGTTACTGAGGCGATGGAGTCATTCCTG